TTAGAGTACATGACACCTTGGCTGCCTAACTTGACAAGGTATGTTTGATCTTGGTTGCCTAACTTGGCAAGGTATGTTAGATCTTGGTTGCCTAACTTGACAAGGTATGTTACATGTTGGTTGCCTAACTTGGCAAGGTATGTTACATCTTGGGTGCCCAACTTGACAAGGTATGTTAGATCTTGGCTGCCCAGCTTGGCAAGGTATGTCAGATCTTGGTTGCCTAACTTAACAAGGTATGTTACATCTTGACTGCCTAACTTGGCAAGGTATGTTAGATCCTGGTTGCCCATCTTGGCTGCCTAACTTGGCAAGGTATGTTAGATCCTGGTTGCCCATCTTGGCTGCCTAACTTAACAAGGTATGTTACATCTTGACTGCCTAACTTAGCAAGGTATGTTACATCTTGGCTGCCTAACTTGGCAAGGTATGTTAGATCCTGGTTGCCCATCTTGGCTGCCTAACTTGGCAAGGTATGTTTGATCCTGGTTGCCCATCTTGGCTGCCTAACTTAACAAGGTATGTTACATCTTGGTTGCCTAACTTGGCAAGGTATGTTCGATCTTGGTTGCCTAACTTGGCAAGGTATGTTCGATCTTGGTTGCCTAACTTGGCAAGGTATGTTAGATCCTGGTTGTCCATCTTGGTTGCCTAACTTGGCAAGGTATGTTAGATCCTGGTTGTCCATCTTGGCAGCCTAACTTGGCAAGGTATGTTAGATCCTGGTTGCCCATCTTGGCAGCCTAACTTGGCAAGGTATGTTAGATCCTGGTTGCCCATCTTGGCTGCCTAACTTGTCACAGGTAAATGACACTGGCGTTTAAACTTGACAAATGAATGGTAAGGTGAAATATCAATGTGTAGCTTTTAGGTAACCACACCTTGAAACCATCTGACTAATTTCAAAAGTTTGTTTATTTTGTGACACCTTAGTTGCCTAACTTTGTGAGGTAGTTCATTCTGGGTCACCTTGTTTGCCTAACTTCACAAAATTGTTGATAATGGAACAACTTGATTGTCTAACTTGAAAGTGTAAGTTTGATATTGGTGCAACTTGGTTGCCTAACTTAACGAGTGAAATGTTAGACTAACATTTCATACATACATATGCTTGTACAGGTTTTGTAAGCACCCAGATGAAGCAAAAAGGTCCAAAGTAGCAGTAATTTTAGATAAATTAATAATGATGACAATAGAAGAGAAAGAGATGTATCCGTCCATCCAAGCGAAGATTTGGGGTAATATTGGACAAGTAGGAGACCTGGTAGATGCAGTACTTGATAGTTATATTAAGGTAAGTGAATGGTGAATAAACCACAGATTATCTCGTTTTGTTTTAATTGATTAATCTAAAAATAAAAATGCATTTTTATTGCCTAAATACATTGAATATTAATAATGAACAGATACCAAACAGTTGAAGTGACTTTTCTCACCAGTGCATGATGGGAAATGTAATTTGTTTATTATGTATAAATGGAAGGAATTTGGAATTTGAAGGAATTTGACAAGAGCTTCCTAAAGCTATTTCAAATTCCTTTTACCTGTAAATAAATTTATATTTTTCCTATTTCAAAATTGTATTTTTCACGAATAATATGGGTAATAAACCATCATATCAAATCTTACAAACACCATTGTTTACAATAAAAGGATATATTGTCATCAGTCTGTTGACACTGTTATACACAACTCATAGTGGCTATGTGTGGAGTGTGTGTTAAAACTTTGATTTGAATAATCCTCTGATTGACAGTCATGTTGAACATTTTTTAAAAAAACTGCTTTCGCATCAACTTTGACAACTCAACAACAATTGTGTTTAATCCTTGCTCAACTAGTAAAGTAACATTGTATTCTATAAATATAGATTATGTATCGGGTATGATGGAAGTACTCAATGCATTCTGCATTCAAAACAAAGCCATTTTGCAAAGCACTCCCACCAGATGCATCATAATGGAGTGTGATTTGCAGACTTAAATCAGGTTGCCATCTTTCCTTTATACACCCAGAGCTGCAGTTTACTTGTAATAAAACTGTTTTATTTGTTGTATAGACAAGTGCTACAGGTGGGCTTGGTTCACAGAAAGCAGAAGTAATGGCAGACACTTCAGTAGCGTTAGCATCGGCCAATGTTCAATTGGTATCACAAAAAGTCATTGAGAGAATGTCAAAGGTGAGAGCGCCCTCTACATTTGATGTTGATGTTAACATAGCAGCATTAAAGCGAGGGAGTCGTCACCTGCACATACGTCAGATGGCCATGTGTCATTGTTTACAGACAAGTTTCTACCCATTAGCCTTTGCATTTTTAGCCTATGTTGTTATCGTCGCTTGGTGTGCTGGTGATGACCCTCTCGCTTTAATATTGCTGAAAATCTATGTTAAAAAAAAGCAGTATTTGAAGTGACCTACCCAGATGTTGTTCTCTTGAGTAGCAGCAGATAAGAGCTGAACTCTCAAAAAATAGTGAGTATTGGTCACAATGTCCGATACTCATTCATTGTTTTCAGTGGTGAATGAATGTGTAATTGTTAAAATCAAAATCTGGATACATTGGAAAATTATGTCCATTTGGTTCAAAATAAAAAAAAAAGAAATACATGAACAATTGCAAAATGATGTACAAACAGTTTGGTTGGAAAATGATGGTGTTTTACGATATATTGGGTTTAAATAGATTCATTTAATGTCTCATGTTTTGTATTCTCTCAGCTGATAGACAAGACATGTATGTCTCCAACATCAACGTTAGAACAGCACCTTATGTGGGATGATATTGCTATACTCGCTAGATATCTACTTATGCTTTCATTCAACAACTGTTTAGATGGTAAGTTCTCACAACTGTTAAATGACTTCACTGTCACACAAATATGATACATGGTTTAGAATATGAATCTGCACAGTATTTGTGGACCAGTGAACTGTGTATTCATTTTTGCCTCTTTTTTAAAAAATCATCAAATATCAAGCATTTCTGGCATTTATGAATGGATTTCATTCAAACTTGATACATACATTAGACATTACGGGTTCCTGATGCACATCATTTTATTTTTCAGATTGGATTCAAAATGGCTGACTGGCGGCCATTTTGTTTTAATGATTGGGCTTCTAGAGCCATATCTCTTAAGGTAGAGATGCAGGTTGGGAGACTATATTTCTAATTGCCTCTAATTACTGTAATTACATGAGTAAAATATACTTTCTACCAATCAAGTTATATATCATTTGAAAGAGTTTTATTTAAACTTTTGAGTTTTATGGTTTACAATAATGTACTATGATACCATATTAAGTGGTGTTGATTTTGGGTTAAAATCATGCATTTTAGGTGAAAGTGCACTTAAAACTATTTAACTTTTGAATGCATACCCTGATTTTAATTTAAGAACACTTATTTAAAACTTCTGTTTACTAGGAACATAGTGGCTTATTTATTAGTGTTTCCATTGAAAAGTTTTTACACAGTGCTCTTTGAAACATTCACATTTTATAAATCGTCCACAGTTAACAGAGCCGCTAATTGGCAGCTCTATTGTTTCTGTTTCAGTGAAGACAGTGAAACCATACGAAGCCATTTACTTAGGATAGATCTGAATAATGACCCCTGAACATTTCATTGAAAACAAATGAACCGTCTAAAAGTTAA